GCAATTTATCATGAGCAAACTGCAAAGGTAATGATAGAGGGAGAATTTACAGACTCTATTAATATAAGAAAAGGCACAAGAGAAGGATGTCCCCTTTCTCCCTTGCTATTTGTATTGACTCTGGAAGTGCTGAATAGAAATATTAGAGAAGATAAAACTATAAAAGGAATGAAAATCAAAAAGGAAGAATTTAAATTACAAGCCTTTGCAGATGACTTAGTTTTTATTTTGGACGATCCTATAGAAACAGCTTCGAAGCTACTGGAAAAGATAGAGACATATTGTGAGGTGGCTGGTTTGAAAATAAATAAAGATAAAACAAAGATTTTGTCAAAGAACATGCTACTAAGACAAAGAGAAGAATTGGCAGATCTGTTGAAAATCCAAGTTACGAACAAGGTTAAGTATTTGGGGATATATTTGACATCAAGATGTAGTACATTAAAAGAGAACAATTATATTAAACTTAAACAACAGATAGCCCTAGATTTGAAGAAATGGGAAAACTTACAACTGTCATTAATAGGGAGGATCTCAACAATCAAGATGAATATTCTACCCAGAATCTTATTTTTGTTTCAAACAATACCAATTAGGCTTGGAAAAGACTATTTTGAGGACCTAAATAAAATTGTGTTGAAATATATATGGCAAGGTAAGAAAGCGAGGAAAAAGCTAAAGCTTTTGCAAGATGCTAGAACTAGAGGAGGGTTTGGCCTGCCTAATTGGGAGTTGTACTACCAAGCTGCAAATTTGATGTGGGTTAAGGAATGGACAACATTAAGGAATACTAGATTGTTGACACTAGAAGGTCATGATTTGTTGTTGGGTTGGCATGCTTTTCTATGGTACAAGGGAACCAAAACACAGGGCTATTTTAGAAGACATTATATACGGGAGTCTTTGTGGCTAAATTGGGAGAAGATACAAAAACAATGTTATTTGAAAATTCCAGTTTGGTTATCGACGATAGAAGCATTTTCTTATCCTATAATTTATAAGAAGGAACAAACAGTTAGATATGGGGAATTACTAGATGAAAAAGGATGAACTTAAATCGATACAAAATTTAGAGGAACAAGGTATAAAGATGAATTGGTTTTCATATGTGCAAATACACTCAAGGTATGATGAAGATTCCAAAACAGAGGGATTTTATGATAAACAGACTGATTTAGATAAGATTTTGACAGGTACTGATGAAAAGGTGATTAAAAAACTATATGGTTACTTATTGGGAATTAAGCTAGAGGAAGAACAAGTTAAAGAAACTATGATTGCTTGGGGGAGGAATTTTGGATATGGGATTGACTTAGAGAAATGGCAGAAATTATGGTTGCAAAATTATAAAATGACAATGTCTACAGCTTATAAAGAAAATTTGTATAAGATGTTTTACAGGTGGCATTTTCCCCCGACAAGGATAGCAAGAATGTTTAAGAACAAATCGGAAAAATGTTGGAAATGTCATCAGACACCTGGTTCATATTACCATATGTAGTGGACTTGTGAGGACACTAGAAAATACTGGACTAAAATCCGCATGTGGTTGGAAAAAAATGACAAAGAAACATATAGATTTGAAACCAGAGCTTTTCTTACTGGGAATCCTACCAGATGTATACAGTAAAGAATTGAAATATTTGATTGTAAATGTATTAACTGCGGCTAGGATTGTATTTGCAAAAAATTGGAAAAATGAGAAAATTCCATTGCAAGAAGAAATTATTAAGAAAATATTGGAATGTGCTGAGATGAGTAGATTGACATTTGAAATTAGAGAGCAAGAAGATAAACAATTTTATACAATTTGGGATCTTTTCTATCAATGGTTGGACGATGAAATACAAAAATAGAATATCTAGAATGTTAGGCAATAAGGAATATTATTGACTTTTTTTTCTTTTTTTTTTTGCTACTTGACATTACATTTATAAAGTGTTTTTTTTTTTAGGATAGAATTGGTATGATTATATGATTTGTTATAGAATAAATTACTTAAATTATAGTTATCTCATAAGGCATGAATGAATAAAAGTATAGTCAAATGATTTTTTTTTTAATAATGATATGAGGATATATAAGTTTGGATTGATAATAAGAGTTATTATGTAACATAATTGTAATTGAGACTACGAAATGAATGCACAAAACTGATGAACCAACCGACACACTGTTTGTATATAAGTATGGAAGAGAGCTGATGCTTTTATGTTTTGTTTGTTTTGTTTGTTTGTTAATAAACCAATAAAATTGTTTTCAAAAAAAAAAAAGCATCATACAGGTTCTTTATATATAAAAATAGAGAAATTTCTCCTCCTTTTGCCCAAGGTGGATAGGAAGTCATGTAAAATCTCATGTATGAGGACATGACACATGTAACATCCATATTTCTCTGCTATGATAACTTATGAAAAGCAGTATAGGCTGTACATATAAGAACTGTTTCAAAAACCTCATCTGAAGAATAATGTATATATTCTTCATTGAAAGATCTGCTGTTTTTGATCTGGTTTACAGAAAATTCACTGAAGCAGGTAGTTCTGATTAACTATTACAAGATAAAAAGACAGATTTAAAAATGCAATTTTGGAACAGCAGATGGTGTTGTACTACTATTTACATGAATAGTTAGCAATGTTTAAGTATCTAACAAGAGTTGGAAAATTCATTCTGTTCTTTGAGTTAAAAAGGTTTGCATTCACAAGGATTAATTAGTTCCATGAAGCCTATATGCTGATGATTCTGGATGTTATTAAGAGATTGTGCAGATACTAATGGTAGTGGAGCTATTTAGAACTGTATATTTGTGAGGCAAATATACAGTTTACAAGTTGCTGTCACAAATACGCTTTGTGTAAAACAACAGAGTCTAGGGGCTTTGGGGGGCAAAGGGTGGGGGTAATTATATTATTCAAGACTGGGGAAAAGTTATTGAATCTAATAATTTTAAAACCATTGTTCTAAATATTCCATTGAAAAGTGTGAGAACCATGGCAATGTATATTTTTCTAAAAAAATTAAATATGAGGTGATACGAAAATGCTTCAGCTCTCATTAGAGAAAACATTGGTGTGATTAGTTGAAGTATCCCTGTAATGTATGCCCATTCATTAGAGATTCCCACAGTAGTATGGTATTGCATACCACAAAAATTCTTTTGAAATTGTTATTATATTTCATACATCATTAACCTTTTATTAGTTGCTTTCTAAAAGCATGTTTCACTGTTCTAATAACTTTAAAACAAAGATTGGTAGTATGATGGGTTTGTACTCTCTATCCCTGGAATTTTCTTTCTGTCCTTAAAAACAAACAACACACATGAGGAGTCAGTGAGATGTAAATGTTGAAAAGTTAGATTATGCATTTAATCTGTCATTAAAATATGACATGGAGAAAGAACAAGTAAAAAATTATATAAAGTAGATAAAGAAATCTTAAAAAGCACAATAAGGATATAATCGTGAGAGGAATTATGTAGAAAATAATAAGCAAAACAAAATTATCAATAATACTTATGAGAAAAATTGTTATAAAATCCTTAATTTATGGTAATAGGTCCATCAATAACTAAATAGATAAAGCATATAACAAAAAGGAGTAAATAAATGTCAGATAAAGAAGCAACTTTCTATTACCTGCAGTATTTATATAAAAAAAAAACCTCATAAGTATTGGAAAGAAATATGTAACATTAAACAAACTACAAAAAAAAAGAAAGACACTTTGCCTATGGTACCAGCTGGGAAGCAAAACTTGGAGAATATACAAAGTGGAAAATCTGCTTTATTTATTTATTTAGCTAAAATGTTCAATAGAAAAGGTTGTAGTCTAGTGAGGAAACCTAGTTGGGAAATCCAGGTTCTAGTACTTTTTAAAGACATGGATATGGCAGAATGACTTTGGCTCAAAGGAGAATGGGAAATCAAGACAAATCTATCTACTGTGTTGATCAGCCTTTTAGATCTTCATCCTATGGTGAATTTATGAAATCATTTAAATGGCCCAAATCAAATCAAACTGAAAAAACTTTTAACAATTCTGTGTTGTTAAATAAGATCTACTAAGATACAAGGCAAGAATATTGAAATCTCACAGGGTTCTATATCCTCATATGAAATTTCAGTCCTTATCTGAAATTACATGAGAACCTTGATGTTAGATCATCAATTATTTATTAGACTGTAATTTTAAATTTAGTTTTAGTTTGGTTTCACTGAATGATTATACATACTATCATGTAAGTATAGAATTAGTTCTCTATGTAAAATACAGAATAAACTCTTTTACTTTCCTAAACCAGAATAAAACCACTACCAGTTAAGAAGTTCTACCCCTACACACACTGTCCATGATTTAATCCTTGAACTATTGAAGAGAATATCACATCCTATGCAATTTAAGATCTGACAAGTAATGTAGTAAATTATATGGTGTTGCAACACACAGAGCAATTATATGGCTGCAATTCTGTTACCAGATGGGAATGACAGAAACAATGCCATTTCTGGTTCAGGTCATGGCCTGCATAAGCAAAAAGGTTTTCCATCAAGTAGCCTTGTTAACTTGCATATAAAGTGCGACTGGATGGCAAAACCTTTCTTAGCAAACAGCAGCATATTGATTGGCTATGGGTTAGGTTATTTAGGATATTACCCTCTCTCTCTACTTATGATTAATTTTGGAGTTTTCAACTAGCATACATAAAATGGAAATGAAGAATAAGCTATTTAAATACTGATTAGAATTGTTTAAACATTAATTGTATTTACTTATTTTGTATTGATTTGATTTTTGTGCCAGCCATCTTGTCTGGAGGCAACTTTGGGTGGCTTATAAGCATTAAAACCAGAAACATTAAAAAAATGAAAAAACAATAAAAATAATCATAGTAATACTAAAATGTATAATTAACTAAATCACTAAATCACACCATCATAAATCATAGCCTAAAGCAATTCCTGTTTATTTTCTCATTCTTTTCCCTTTCCACCCACTTTTCTAATTCTTGGTTCATCTCTAAAATATGTTTGCATGAAATAAAACCTAACACCTGTACCATCAACAGTTTTTATCAAAGGCAGAACATCTGAATTGACATAATTTTATCTTTAAAGTATTGTTATACCAATAGTAATTACATACAATTTACATGCAAATACAGAACTGCAGTGTCAGTCCCCAGGCTGTTTTTGATCTGTGCAGTTACACGGAAGATGCCAACATTCTGATAGATGTGCCTGATTCCATCTTCTGTTGAGCTGAGATTGGCATATGACACAGCACTACCATCTCCAAAATCCACATGGATTATTGATCTTTGAATGTCACCCTAAATAGGAGAGCAGGAAAGAAACCTCATATTAATGAAAATGCTACAAAATTAGAGACAATTGAATGCTTGCTCTCTTATGTATTAATTGTCCTGGATGGATAGGCTGCTTTAGTTACAAATATTTTAAGTTTGGAAGTAGAAATCTTTGTTTCCAGGATCCAGTAAAATCCCTAAAACTAAAAAAAGACTAAAATTTTTAAAGGCAGAGAACACAGTACAGAGAACAGAAAGCATTCTTATTATTTCAGTGTAGGGACTTGCTTCTTAAATTTCATTTAAAGAAGCTCATTTTGTCGCTGGTCGCTGACCAGACAAAGATAAGATAAAATAATTAAAATAAAATGGAGTAAAAAATAAATTAAACACAGCCAGCATGAATAAAATTTTGCTACCTCTTGGAACAGTGAGATTCTAAACACATAGGCCTCAGTGAAAAGACCACCATAAATATAGCTAGAAATATATAAACAAGAAGATTAACAATTATTGTAATTCTTAAACCTGAAGGAAATTTAGTCAAGTTAAACTGTGCTTAACAAGCTCCACAACTCTAGTGGATCCTGTATGTATTTGTGTGTGTGTGTGTTTGTAAATATAACAAATGAAAGATAGATATCTTGTTCCTTTTTTGATCACCTTATTTATCTCACTTTCATCTTCCAGGCTCCTGTTCCTGTTATTTCAGTTATGTTTTAGCTGAACATAATGAAGCACTGACTTGTATGATGTAAAGCTGTTCAATACTACAGACAATACTGTTACCCTTCAAAAAGATCTTGACTATGTATCAGAATGGTCAAACAAATGGCAACTTCAAATCTCAACAAATAAATGCTCTGTCTTACATATTGGCAAAAAAAAATCAGAAAATAAAATACAAGCTGAATAGTCAAGATCTTGACTATTGGCTCTGTAAAGGACCTTGGAATACTCATCTCTGATTATCTAAGTGCTAGAGCCCACTGTAACTACATAGCCAAAAAGGCTTTAAGAGTTGTTAACCTAATCCTACGTAGCTTTTTCTCTGGTAATATCACACTACTAACTAGAGCATACAAAACATTTGCTAGACCAATACTCGAATACAGCTCATCAGTCTGGAACCCACATTACATATCTGATATTAGCACAGTTGAGAAAGTCCAGAAATATTTCACAAGAAGAGTTCTTCACTCCTCTACTCATTGCAGAATACCTTATGCCACCAGACTCGAAATTCTAGACCTAGAAAACCTTGAATTACACCGTCTTTGGTCTGATCTAAGTATGGTATATAAAATCATACATTGCAATGTCCTGCCTGTCAATGAATACTTCAGCTTCAACCATAACAACACAAGAGCACACAATAGATACAAACTCAAGGTTAACCGCACTAAACTTGATTGCAGGAAATATGACTTCAGCAACAGAGTGGCCAATGTCTGGAATACTCTACCTGACTCTGTAGTTTCTTCCCCAAACCCCAAAAACTATTGACCTCACCCCTTTCTTAAGAGGTCTGTAGGGGGCGTGCATAAGCGCACCAACGTGCCTACAGTCCCCTGTCCTATTGCTTCTTTTATTTTTCTTATATGTACTCATTTCATGTATTCATAACTATGTATATACTTATACCTATTATCTTGTCAGCAATTGACAAATCAATCAATCAATCAAATAAATAAATGAATGAATGAATGAATAACAGGAAAGAATAGAGCCTGGAAAATGAAAGTGAGATAAATTAGGATCGACTAGAGTTGTGGAGCCAATGCATTTAAATAAATAAAAATAAATTTAAAAAGTCAATCTCTTACTGAGAAATTTCATATAAGGCAGTGGGCATATGAGCATGCATGCACTTGTGTTATATGAGAGAGTTAGAGACATTATCCTGCTGTAATATCCTTATAAACATTTAAATAGATCATTCTATTCCTCCTTTACAAATACCACAGTTCTGTGTGTTTAACTGGAAGCAATTCTCAGTTTTATTCTCAGTTAAATATGCAAAGAACTGTATTGCTATTTTATGCAAACTTCTTTTGCAGAAAGAACTAATGAAACCTCCCTCTCTAAAGAAAACACTTTCTCTGGCATTATCAACAGAGAAGTAAATAATTTTGCATATCCTCAAAAAGGTCATTTTGTTGCTCAAAAGTGACATATTTAAATCTGGTACAAAGACTAAAACAAGCAAATAATTTTGGCATTGAAATAGTATAAAAAATGTACAAAATTGCTTTTGTTGGTTTATTTATATGCAAACTTAATTTAAAAAGCAATGGGAGTATTTTTATCTTCCATTGTATAAAAAAATCTTTAAAATTTGATGAATTATCAATAGCTGTTGATAGAACTTTCAGAAACATTGAAATAAATTGTGGAGACTTTATTAAAGATGATGCAAAATGTCTCCAAATATATGTATCTCTTATTACTAAAAACTGATAGGTCAAATTTAGTAGTATATATTGCTACATGAAGGGGAAAAAGTCATTTCTAAGCTCAGCACACAATGTCCTTTGGTTTCTTCCCAAGATTTCCTGCTGGGGGACAATGACATCTTCCTGTCTAATTGGAGTAGACCCACATCTGCTACTCACAAATTTTCTTTTATGGGAAGAATTGAACTGGGTCTGAAAGTTCCTTTCTTCACAATAATTGCTTAAATTATTTGAACTGAAAATGCTTTCTGCCCATTAAATACAATTCAGGCTCCAGTAGATTTCTGAAAAGGGCACATCAAAACACTGACATTTAAATATCTGAAGCATCAGGACAAGAAGCAAAAGTAAAATATGCGACTAGTCAGTTATTTTTCTGCCACAAATGAAATAACTCAGGAAAAAGAGACGAGGGAGCAGAGATAAAGTGCCTGTTCTACACAACAAGTTTTAACCTATATTGTTTCCATACATACTTTCCTGTGGCCTGAAGAACATACTTTCTTTGATGATGGTTATACACATGTATTATAGCAGATGTTAGAAAGGAAGAAATATAGAAAATATAGCTTTCTACTTAATTTTTTTTATCACCAAGCTAAATCTCACAGCAATAAGTAAACTGTAAAGGTTCAAGTGAATTTCTCAATTTACTTTAACCTTTTAGCTTCTGCCAATTGGCTTGATTTGGTTCCTATCAATGAATAAATTTATACAGATACAGATACATAGCCCTTGCTTAATAAATCTAGCCAGAATGCTTAAATATGTGGTTGGCATAGATTTTATGCTGAATGCTATTGAAGTTAGTAATCAAACCAAGTAGTCAAGTAATAACTTTACAACAGAGGTACATTTTACGACATCTTTGCCTTTCAATGTTCCCTTTTGTAAAGAATGGCTTTAACAGAATCGAGTTGGAAGGGTCATTGGAGGTCTTCTACACCAACACCCTGTACAAGCAGAAAACATGCTGCAGAGCATTCTGCAGTCCAATCTCTTCTTAAAAAGCTGCAGTGGTGGAAAACCAACAACTTCTGAAAGCAAGCTGTTCTACTGGTTAATTGTTCTCACTGTCAGGAAATTTCTCCTTAGTTCTAGATTTTTTCTCTCCTTGATTTTTTCTCTCCATCCATTGCTTTTAGTCCTGCTTTGTGGTGCTTTGGAAAACAGAGTGATCCCTCTTCTTTTTGGCACCCCCTCAAATATTGAAACACTGATATCATGTCATTCATAGTCCTTCTTTTCCCTGGATTAGACATATCCAATTCCTGCAACCATTCTCATAAGTTTTTAGCCTCCAGCCCCCTAATTATCTTTGTTGCTTTTCTCTGCACTCTTTGTAAAGTCTCAAAACTTTTTTATATTTGGCAACCAAAACTGGATGTAATATTCCAGGTGTTATGCTTCACATGATCTTGATTCTCTGCCTCTATTGCTGCAGCCTAGGATTACATTAGCTTTTTTTTGTGGCTACAGAACACTATTGGCTCATATTTAAGTAGTTATCTACTAGGACTCCTTTTGCATGAAGACAGATACAAATAATTATTTAATAATTCTGCTTTCTCTGCTTTCTCCCTGCTGCCTATCATTTCCTTGCCATTTTCTCCCATTAGTGGCCCAATTGTTTCCTTGACATTTTTCTTGTTTTTTATATGTTTAAAGAAACTTTTTAAAAATTATTGTTGACAGCTGTTGTGAGTCTTAGTACTGACCCTTAGCTTTCCTGACTTCATCTTTGCAGATTATGACTATATACTGGTATTCTGCTTTAGATATATGTCCCTCTTTCCATTTTTCATACTTATCCTTTTTGTTTTTCAGTGTATCAGACAGTTCTTTATGCAACATTTATTTGACCCTTGATCAAATAAATCATATATGCAGACTGATTTTCTCAAGTCTATATTATTTTGGTCAAGTTAAGACCATTTCAATAATACATAAAATAAAAGACATTTCCACATACACACTTTGCCTTGTCTAATGAAAAGCATTCTAAAGCCAGCTAAGCAATTGAGTTACTTCCTGCTGGCCTAAGAACATTAAGGTCGAGCAAGGAGCAGTTGATCTAATCAGTATTTCTGCAAAGTCAAAAATAGTGCACAAAAGAAATAACAAGAATGACATTCATTACCCCAGAATCTGTTATGACAACTCATGAAATACAAAACCCCTGCATTTGTTATCATTCCTTCTGAATGTAAATTCCTATTGAAAGCAATGGAGCTAGGCTGACATGAAAATTTAGCAGGCAGGTGATTTCTTAAGAAACTGCATTCAGGGATTTAGGCATGAATTCAGTATAAGCTGTTTATGCAAAGAGAGAAAATTAAGAGGAATCTAATGGGTCACAGGGGAGAGGGAAGGTGGTATATTAGAGTCTCTGACTTCCACAGTCTAAATCAGGGGTGTCAAACTCATGTTATTAAGGTGGCATCACATGATGTATCAGGACTTTTTCCTCCTTTCCTAAACTAGGCATGGGTGTGATCAGCACATGACGCATCCGGCTTTAAAATTCATGAACAGCTTTGAGTTCAACCAGAGGGAGATTGAATGGCA